TCATAGACAGCCAGGACACACCCTGGGATGGGGTAATACCGTACATGTTTTATCTGGGCTAGCCCATCATTCATTAGGGTTACCAAGGCGACTTGGGGAGGGGGGGGAGGGGGGCATCTGAGCCTAGCAGAGGGAATATAGAAACCCTGCCTGTCATTTGAAAATGGTTTCCATTTATTTAAATATTCTATAAGAAACCCAGATTTTTGTTTGAAATAGATGGAATTATTCTATATTCAAGTTTATTTCCTTCACACAAAACACAGCATTTGAATTGTTTTAAATACGGATCCTTAGTCCAGCTCAGTATTTTCTGCATATTTTCACAGAGTCACAGGTTGTTGTAAATGTTCCACTCTGTCTCTGTTTCCGTGCTCCGTGTGTCTGGGGTTCTGAGGTGATGGTGGGAATCTTATGAGGTGGATTCGAGAAATGGAAAAAGTGTGCTAAAGTGCTAAACTAACGTGTCTAAATGCAGCCGTCTTCCTTCTGCTATAAAGCCAATAGTGCTAACCGCTTTCCAGAGACAAAGAATATCAATGTGTGTTTTTTCACTACTTGTGTATTAGTGTTTCGATCTGAATGACTGTGTGTCTCTACTCTATGTAGTGTACTGTGTACGAGTTAGTCTGCGCGCGTGCAAGCTTGTGTGCCAGCAAATGCACACACAGGTACAGTGGCTTGCGAAAGTATTCAACCCCCCCCACAGCAATTACAGCTGCAAGTCTATTGGGGTATGTCTCTATAAACTTGGCACATCTAGCCACTGGGATTTTTGCCCATTCTTCAAGGCAAAACTGCTCCAGCTCCTTCAAGTTGGATGGGTTCCGCTGGTGTACAGCAATCTTTAAATCATACCACAGAGTCTCAATTGGATTGAGGTCTGGGTTTTGACTAGGCCAATCAAATACATTTAAATGTTGCCCCTTAAACCACTCAAGTGTTGCTTTAGCAGTATGCTTAGGGTCATTGTCCTGCTGGAAGGTGAACCTCCGTCCCAGTCTCAAATCTCTGGAAGACTGAAACAGGTTTCCCTCAAGAATTTCTCTGTATTTAGCGCCATCCATCATTCCTTCAATTCTGACCAGTTTCCCAGTCGCTGCCAATGAAAAACATCCCCACAGCATGATGCTGCCACCACCATGCTTCACTGTGGGGATGGTGTTCTCGGGGTGATGAGAGGTGTTGGGTTGCGCCAGACATTTTCCTTGATGGCCAGAAAGCTCAATTTTAGTCTCATCTGACCAGAGTACCTTCTTCCATATGTTTGGGGAGTCTCCCACATGCCTTTTGGCGAACACCAAACGTGTTTGCTTATTTTTTCCTTTAAGCAATGGCTTTTTTCTGGGCCACTCTTTCGTAAAGCCCAGCTCTGTGGAGTGTACGGCTTAAAGTGGTCCTATGGACAGATACTCCAATCTCTGCTGTGGAGCCTTGCAGCTCCTTCAGGGTTATCTTTGGTCTCTTTGTTGCCTCTCTGATTAATGCCCTCCTTGCCTGGTCTGTGAGTTTTGGTGGGCGGCCCTCTCTTGGCAGGTTTGTTGTGGTACCATATTCTTTCCATTTTTTAATAATGGATTTAATGGTACTCCGTGGGATGTTTTTTTATAACCCAACCCTGATCTGTACTTCTCCACAACTTTGTCCCTGACCTGTTTGGAGAGCTCCTTGGTCTTCATGGTGCCGCTTGCTTGGTGGTGCCCCTTGCTTAGTGGTGTTGCAGACTCTGGGGCCTTTCAGAACAGGTGTATATATACTGAGATCATGTGACAGATCATGTGACACTTAGATTGCACACAGGTGGACTTTATTTAACTAAATGTAATTATGTGACTTCTGAAGGTAATTGGTTGCACCAGATCTTATTTAGGGGCTTCATAGCAAAGGGGGTGATACATATGCACGCACCACTTTTCTGTATTTTTTTTTTTAGAATGTTTTGAAACAAGTAATTTTTTTCATTCAACTTCACCAATTGGGACTATTTTATGTATGCCCATTTGTCACGACTTCCGCCGAGGCTGCCTCCCCTCCTTGTTCGGGCAGGTTTCGGCGTTCGTCGTCACCGGAGTGCTAACCACTGCCGCCCCAATCATCATCACAATTGTCTTGTCAATCACACACACCTGGTTCCTATCCCCTAATTAGTCTGTGTATAAGTGTTCCCTCTGCCCCCTTGTCCTTGTGGGTGATTGTTTATTTGTGGAGGTTAGTGAAGCTCGGTGGAGCTCGTGTATTGTGTATCGACGGGAGTATTTTTCCCGTATGCCTTGTATTTACAGATTAACTCATGCTTATTTCTGAGGACTAACTAAAATTTGAGCACATTTGTTCTTCTTCTCAGGAACCAGCCAGGCAACAACCCATAGGCTACTGTACTGTTCCACAAAGAAGTCAGCCAGAGTTGGTACCACGAATGACATGGGCCATCATTCAAACAAAGATGCCTCCCTGGCCACCAGTGCATATTTCCAAACTATGTTTACATATAATGACAATACAGTCTCACAACTATGCTGTTTTTCTTTTGTCCATTACTTAAATCTTTAATATATTATATTGTGAGCTAAAAATAGGATGATTTATTAGTAGCCATAATTCATAAATGGCACCATACAGGGTTCTATATGGAAGCAGTGAAGTAGAATCCCTAGGGTTCTGATCAAATAACCTTATAAAAGGGTTCTATATAGAGCTATTAGAGGTTCCATATATGAAACAATCGATATAACCCTTTTTGGTTCTATATGGAACCTTTTTTCTAAGAGAGCGGGTAGTTGGTACAGGCACCATACAAGCCCTCAGTTCTCCCTCTGGAACGTAATTGCTCTAATCATTCCCTGTAATTGCTGTAGCTTTCTCAGACTGACAGGGTTTTATAGAGGCGTAATGAACAGGTATGCCTTGATAGCAGCTCTGGTTAAATGGACACAGAATAGCACAGCTCCATGTTGTTGTGATTAAATGGAGAGCTATTTCACTGTAGCACAATTTGGCTGACTGAGACACATCCAGGTAGTTTCCATTTTCCAAAACAAAGTCAGGAATGTTGTGTTGCATACAAAATAACAAAAAAAGAAGCCGAAAATAAAGTAGCACTGACTTTGCTGATAACTATTTTATTAAGGGAAAATGTACTTTCTATGACTGTGATATGTGGTTATCTCACCCAGCTATCTTCAGATGAATGCAGTAATTGTAAGTCGTGCTGCTAAATGACTAAAATGTACATGTAAAAGAACAATGAGACCACAGGCCTATAGAAGGCTCACATAACACACCTCCCCATCCGAAGCACCTGGGATGTAGAATGGATCTGTATGGCAAAGAGGTGTGAACTAATAATTCACCTCATTGCCTCACCCCATCTCTCAATGACTCAATTGACATCCAAAATTGTCCTATGTGCTATGCAGTTGTTGTAGAAGATGGTTACCATGCTAGTTTCTGGATTATGGTGTGGTGCGCTGTGGATTCGTATCCACTTCAAACATGCGTGGCATTTGATTAAAATCCATCTGTAATGAGCAGCAGTGTGCGTGTATGTGTGTGTCTCAAATTTCCCCAAGCCTGCTCTTTAGGACGCTCCTCATTAGTGTGAATATGAATGCATCCAGAAAGAGCGGGAGGGAGGGGAGGAATGAGGGAAAGACGGGAGGAAAAATGTAAAAGGAATCTGGGAAGAGCTTTTTAAAGGGGCCATTTCATCAGAATCGTTATTTTTTTGCGGTCCTCTGAAGGCTCGTAACCGGCGGACTGTGAAGACAGACATGCCGCAGTGGGGCTTAATTTAAAACCAGAAAGGTCACCGCGCTGAGAAAGGTCTTCGGCTCAGCCAGAAAAGAGGGAGAGAGAGGTGGAGGAGGGGAAGGTGGAGCGGCTGAGAGAGATGGAGAGAGAGAGAGAGAGGGGAAGGTGGAGCGGGCTGAGAGAGAGGGAGAGAGAGAGAGAGAGAGAGAGAGAGAGAGAGAGAGAGAGAGAGAGAGAGAGAGAGAGAGAGAGAGAGAAAAAGAGGAGGGAGGGGAAGGTGGAGCGGCTGAGAGAGAGGGAGAGAGAGAGAGAGAGAGCGGTGGAGAAGGAAAAGGTGGAGCAGGCTGAGAGAGAGCGACAGAAAGCGAGATAGCGTTACTACCGTGATGGAAAGACAGAGTGACGGTGCGGCATGCAAAGGTAAAAGGAAGGATGTCAGCAAAGGAAAATGGAAAACAGAAAGCAGAGGATAATGAACTAGAAGGGAATTGAAGTAGAAACAGATGCAAGGAGACATTGCCATCTTATTTACTCCAATGGTATTTTTCCACAGTAATTTTTTATAAAATACAACCATTTGGAATATTCCAAATCTATATCCAATCAGAGAGTTGTAAGTCCAATCTGTCTACCAATGTATGCTGGCACAGCAGGCCCTTCAATGCCGAGTGTTGAGCTAGACTCTCTGTGGTTGGTTGGAGTTCAGAGCACTATAGTCAGATGGGAAGTTAACTTCTCCATATGCCATTCAGTATAGAGATAAAAATGTATGACTTTCACAAACCACATGTCCACTTCACAATCAGTCTCTTGTAGGATATAAAAGTACTAAAAGTTCATATAAAGGCGATTTTGTTTATTTAATTGAAATACTGTAGTGCACATTGTTGCTAAATGTTGGCCTTGGCACACAGTAGTAGTAACTACTATGTTGTCAACACCATCACCACCCCTCCCCCACTTCTAACACTACCTATAGCATTCCTCCAACCAACCAACCAACCAACCAACATCCCAACCCTCAATCACTAATTTATCTATGAGCTCAGTGTAATTGTCTGCTTGGTTTGTGACTGCACCACATGACATCAAAACCCACATAACCCCAGTGGAGGTAGTAGCACGGCAGCCTTCTGATGTACAGAGCCTCTGACGCTTTGCACAGATAAGACGGGTTTGGTTTTAATGTTGCTAGCACACCGAGACACACCAGGCTCACTTGTAAAACGGAATGCCCCGTCTGCTTGTAAATGCAGGCCGCCCAGGAGAAGGGGAGGAGGTAGGATGGGGGAGGGGAGAGTTTCAGGGTGGGACAGGATTAAAGGAAGGGAGGAGAAGGAATTTAATTCTCCCAACTCCCGGCTATTCATCCATTGTTCAGAAGGGGATCAATTTACCTCGCAAAAATTCCCAATCTCTTTTAAAAACTAATACCCAATTCCAATCACAACTGCAATAATGCATATCTTGTAAAAGGGGCCACAGTGCGACCTTAGGCTTGTCTATATTGAATGCCTGCTGCCTGTTGGCCCACTTTGCCTTGAAATACTGCAGCACAGGACAACCACCACAGCCCTCTGGATTGATAGAAACATGGCAGCACCCCCAATCCCTACGCCAGTGGGAGCTGCATTCTCCTCCCCACAGTAGGTGTTTGTCTGGATCAGAGGAACCACACCAGAACATAGTGAGAGAGAGAGATGGGACTGGGGCGGTTGTCCTGTCCTACAGTGGGTTTGTGGTGTAATGAGGCGGTGGTTCTGTGCCAGTCAGTGTTGGAGGTAGTGGGAGAACGGAGCCAGACCCATGAACTCTGGGGTACAGTGGAGGTTTTGGCGTGTGTGTGTGTTATTGCCACAGTGTGTGTGTGTTATTGCCACAGTGTGTGTGTGTGTGTCAGTGTGTGTGTGTTATTGCCACAGTGTGTGTGTGTTGTTGCCACAGTGTGTGTGTGTTATTGCCACAGTGTGTGTGTGTGTTATTGCCACAGTGTGTGTGTGTGTTATTGCCACAGTGTTTGTGTGCTATTGCCACAGTGTGTGTGTGTTATTGCCACAGTGTGTGTGTGTGTTATTGCCACAGTGTGTGTGTTTTGCCACAGTGTGTGTTATTGCCACAGTGTGTGTGTGTTATTGCCACAGTGTGTGTGTGTGTTATTGCCACAGTGTGTGTGTGTTACTGCCACAGTGTGTATGTGTTATTGCCACAGTGTGTGTGTGTTATTGCCACAGTGTGTGTGTTATTGGCACAGTGTGTGTGTGTTATTGCCATTGCCAGGGGCATCAGGAATGTGTAACCCCTCTTCCATCTCCCTCCCTCCATGCTCAGGCATGGCCGCTGTCTGATCAGATGGCCGATCAAACACTAATCATTCCCTCACGGCCCATAGCGAAGTAAAGCTGTCATTAATTTTGCGGAATTACGTCAAATGTGAGGCATTCTTTATGTGTCCGGGAGGCCGCGAGACAGTTATACGATGTGGGGCTGCTGCGCTAAGCAGATGGGGCAGCTAGGCCGTGCATACTAAATACCCACCCACCGTCCATCCCCCACTCCTCCACCTCACCCCCTCTCACTCTGTTTTACTCCCTCCTTTCAGTGACTCTGTTACTTACCCTCTCCTTCACTCCCCCCTCCTCCACTCCTCAACCCCTCACCCACTCGTTTTACTCTGTTACTTACCCTCCCCCCCTCCCCCCCCCTGTTTACCCCCATAACCTGTTCTTACCCTCTCCTTCACTCCTCCACTCCTCCACCTCACCCCCTCTCACTCTGTTTTACTCCCTCCTTTCAGTGACTCTGTTACTTACCCTCTCCTTCACTCCCCCACTCCTCCACTCCTCCACCTCACCCCCTCTCACTCTGTTTTACTCCCTCCTTTCAGTAACTCTGTTACTTACCCTCTCCTTCACTCCCCCACTCCTCCACCTCACCCCCTCACTCTGTTTTACTCCCTCCTTTCAGTAACTCTGTTACTTACCCTCTCCTTCACTCCCCCACTCCTCCACCTCACCCCCTCTCACTCTGTTTTACTCCCTCCTTTCAGTAACTCTGTTACTTACCCTCTCCTTCACTCCCCCACTCCTCCTCTCCTCCACCTCACCCCCTCTCACTCTGTTTTACTCCCTCCTTTCAGTGACTCTGTTACTTACCCTCTCCTTCACTCCCCCACTCCTCCTCTCCTCCACCTCACCCCCTCTCACTCTGTTTTACTCCCTCCTTTCAGTGACTCTGTCACTCCTCCTCTCCTCCTTTGCTCTTTTCCTTTGTCTTCTACCCTTCCAGTGCCTTTGCTCAACTCAATTATCATATAACCCTTATCGGTTACACCCTTCCTCTCCTCCTCCTCTTCCTCCCCCTCCCCCTCCAGCCATGGGTGGGTCTTGGAGGGCATAGGCCCACCTACTTGGCAGCCAGGCCCACCCACTGGAGAGCCAGGCCCAACCAATCAGAATGAGTTTTTCCCCACAAAAGGACTTTATTACAGACAGAAATACTCCTCAGCATTCAGAGAAATACATTTGAGAGAAATAAGCTTTTGGTGCGTATGGAACATTTCTGGAATTTTTTATTTCGGCTCATGAAACATGGGACCAACAGTTTACATGTTGCGTTCATATTTATGTTTAGTGTATAAAGGTCCCTGTGAAGGGTTTCCTTGGTAACGGATGGGTGCTATGGTCAAGGTACAGTTTATAGCTACTGCATACCTGCCATTCCCTTTGAATGAGACATGTACTGTCTATAGTGCAGTAAACTAGCACAGACCAAGACTGAACCTGAACTACAACCTGCACATATTTTCTAATGTCTTGAGATATATCCAAAGCCCATCTCTTACCAGTCTGACCAGCAGTTGACAGACAGTGTAGGCTGCTACTCGACACAGAGGCCAAAATGTATAGTACAGCTAGGTCACAACATCCCAGTGTTGTGATACGTTAGCCCATTAGAACTCTGACCAGGTTTATGCTGCTAAAAGGAAAATCAACACCAAGCCATAATTCTCTACCGGGCTTCCACACCATTTATTAATATAGATTTTCTAAAAAATTAATTAATACAGACAGAAATTGGAGAGAGGAATTAAGGAAGAGGGCGGAGGACAAGAGGGTGTGTCAAAGAGAGAGAGAGAGAGAGAGAGCTCTGACAGGAGATGGCTAGCCGGGCCTGCAGTCAGAACAGAAGACTGTGATCAGCAAGGTCCGTAACACGCTGTCCTACAACCATTCATCACCTGTGTGTGTGTGTGTGTGTGTGTGTGTGTGTGTGTGTGTGTGTGTGTGTGTGTGCCAGCCAACTCCACTCTGTTAAAACCATCTTAACACTCTTTATTGGCTACTCTTACACAGTAGACTGTCTGTCTGCAAACAATTAACTACTTCTAATAGCCACCTTATTTGGATGAGGATCCAAATAGGTGTAGTTCATGGTCACATTAGAAGCAATAGGAGGAAAAAACGACAAGAAAGAAATGACAAGAAACCTTCATGATCAGGAACTGTTCTGTAACATGGAAAGCCAGGGGGGAGTATTGTCTTACCTTAGCACCGCTATCTGCACTGGTTGTTGGAGGAACTATGGCGGAACTATAGCATTGTGTAGGGGTGACGTCAACTGTCAGAAGACAATGAAATCAGGAGACCTTTGTATTGATATCATTTGAATGTGCCTACTGTATTTTGTTGAAGTGTAGCTGAGTAACATGCAATAACTGATCTAACAAAAGAGGAAGGGATCATTTGCTTTATACATATCATCATAATCTAGAAACATTTCCCATAATTACAGCTGGTAGAAGACAATTTCCAGTTCTGACTTACAGGAATAGACTGTGAACCTGACATGGTGAAGGCATCTGTCTAGTGTTCATCTACAGTATATCAACTGAGAGTGGAGGTTCTGGAGGCTTCATACAGGTTTGGTTAAAGTACACTGCCATCTGGTGTCCACTGAGGCAGATTCTACCGGGACAATGAGGGGACTACACTGCATCATGTTTCTCCACCCTTCTCTCAAAGTGTGCACTTGTTGCACACTTCCCATCATGGATTTACAGTGCCTTGCAAAAGTATTCATCCCCCTCTGCATTTTTCCAATTTTGTTGCATTACATTACATTTTTACATTTTAGTCATTTAGCAGACGCTCTTATCCAGAGCGACTTGAGTACATTCATAATTTTTGATCTCAGTATATATACACCTGTTCTGAAAGGCCCCAGAGTCTGCAACACCACTAAGCAAGGGGCACCACCAAGCAAGCGGCACCATGAAGACCAAGGAGCTCTCCAAACAGGTCAAGAACAAAGTTGTGGAGAAGTACAGATCAGGGTTGGGTTATAAAAAAAAATCTGAATCTTTGAACATCCCACAGAGCACCATTAAATCCATTATTAAAAAATGGAAAGAATATGGCACTACAACAAACCTGCCAAGAGAGGGCCGCCCACAAAAACTCACGGACCAGGCAAGGAGGGCAGTCATCAGAGAGGCAACAAAGAGACCAAAGATAACCCTGAAGGAGCTGCAAAGCTCCACAGCAGAGATTGGAGTATCTGTCCATAGGACCACTTTAAGCCGTACACTCCACAAAGCTGGGCTTTACGGAAGAGTGGCCAGAAAAAAGCCATTGCTTAAAGGAAAAAATAAGCAAACACGTTTGGTGGTTCGCCAAAAGGCATGTGGGAGACCTCTCCCCAAAACATATGGAAGAAGGTACTCTGGTTCAGATGACACTAGAATTGAGCTTTTGGCCATGGTCAACGTCAATACGCTTGGTCTGGCGCAAACCCAACACCTTCATCACCCAGAAACACCATGTTTTTTATCGGCAGGGACGGCAAAAAAAACTGGTCAAATTGAAGGAATGATGGATGGCGCTAAATACAGGTAAATTCTTGGGGAAACCTGTTTCAGTCTTCCAGAGATTTGAGACTGGGACAGAGGTTCACCTTCCAGCAGGACAATGACCCTAACCATACTGCTAAAGCAACACTCGAGTGGTTTAAGGGGAAACATTAAAGTCAGCAAATGCCTAGCAGCCCTACCTAATCCATTGAGAATCTGTGGTAATAAAGATTGCTGTACAACCAGCGGAACCCAGACTTATAAAATTATAAATCATCCATTTAGGACGCTTTATAAGCGGTATACTGCATACATTTTTTGTGTATGGGGCGGATACTACCTTAGCGTGAACCCGTGCCAACCTGAGAGTAAGGACACACTTGGAGCTGAGCAGTTTTGCCTTGAAAATGGCAAAAATCCCAGGCAGGGTGCCAAGCTTATAGAGACATACCTCAAGAGACTTGCAGCTGTAATTGCTGAAAAAGGTGGCTCTACAAAGTATTGACTTTGGGGGGGGGGGGGGGGGGGTGAATAGTTATGCATGCTCAAGTTTTCTGTTTTTTTGTCTTATTTCTTGTTTGTGTAACAAAACAAAATATGTTGCATCTTGTGGTAGGCATGTTGAATAAATCAAATGATACAAACCCCCAAAAAATCCATTTTAATTCCAGGTTGTAAGGCAACCAAATAGGAAAAATGCCAAGGGGGTGAATACTTTCGCAAGAAACTGTACCAATGGTGGAAACACCCTCTAGCCAATGATTACACTAATCCAATGCTTTTAAATTCATGAGTGCACACATTGGACTCGTTCGAGCGGATCACTTTTGTCAAGACATTGACCAATGTTGGTCACCGCCTTTCAAAGTGTGTTACATTATGGGTATAGAAATTGTCCGACATGCTGTCGACTGCAACAACCATACTGTATGATCAAAGGTCATGAACTTTTGACTGCAGTCAACTGGACATTTCTGCAGTCGCTCCTCACCAACTGCAACTTGAAGTCAGAACCAAAGCATTGTGGGAGACAACCTTCTTCTGTTTTTTTGGAAGCAAAAAGCACTACATGCTCATAAATTGTTGATGTCGCCACCTATCATTGTTTATTATTTACTGTTTTAGGTGGATGACTATTTAGAGCTTAAATATTATTTATCCTCACATCCTTACTATCTAATTACATAGACCTACATGTGATCCACATTTCTAAGATAAATAAATGAAATATCCTACTTCCAACAACATAGCTAACGTATTTCTCTAGATGTTACTGTAATGTTGTATGCCATGGTATAGCCTACAATTTTTCTTATCTGTAATATTGTTGTCACCAAACAAATTCAAATTTGTTGGTTGTCTATTAAGTGTGAATAAAATTGAATACATATTGTAGGCTACAAATGGGTAATTGTAGGGGATTTCTACACTGGCAATTTTAGAGGCTTAATCTGTGTCCGGAAAACTGGCCCTCAAGTACTCCAGACACCAGTCGTGAGTGTTTGTCCTTCATGTGATTGAATCAAATTCTGTTCTCTATGCACTCACTACCTGGTTATATTTTGAAAAAAACATCACAAAAATACAAAACCTCGGTTCGAGCCTCGGTTTGAGACGAATCAGGTGGAAGTGGTACTCGTTTAGCAAGCAGCGTGACGTCCGTTATACAAGTCTGCCTAAAACATCTCCATTGGCTACTCTTGGTTCGCTATTTTACAAACCTGTATAATTTATAAACATTTACCCACTCATTACTGACACCACACATTTACACCCATACACACAACCGACTCACAACTACATTGATGCTATAGTGATTATTGATTAGATTTATTACTACCATTACGCTTCTGTTCATTGATTATTGATTTTCCATTACCATTTGTATCTATCAATTTATCTTGCTACTGGTCACTCTTACTCCTGTTTACATATATATATATATATATATATATATATTATCATTAGTATGTTACCAATAATATTTATATATTCCTGCTACCAGTCACTTTTCAGCCCTATTTACAGGTACAGTGCATTCGGAAAGTATTCAGACCCCTTGACTTTTTCCACATTTTGTTACGTTACAGCCTTATTCTGAAATTGATTAAATTAATTTTTTTCCTCATCAATCTACACATAATACCCCATGATGACAAAGAGAAAACATAAATTTTAGCAAATGTATTAAAATAAAACATATATATATATATATATATATATATATATATATAGTGGCGGCAGGTAGCTTAGTGGTTAAGAGCGTTGTGCCAGTAACCGAAAGGTCACTAGTTCTAATCCCCGAGCCGACTAGGTGAAAAATCTGTCGATGTGCCCTTGAGCAAGGCACTTAACCCTAATTGCTCCTGTAAGTCGCTCTGGATAAGAGCGTCTGCTAAATGACTAAAATGTAAATGTAAATATAGTATTCAGACCCTTTGCTATGAGACTCGAAATTGAGCTCAGGTGCATCCTGTTTCCATTGATCATCCTTGAGATGTTTCTACAAATTGACTGGAGTCCACCTGTGGTAAAATCAGTTGATTGGACATGATTTGGAAAGGTACACACCTGTCTATATAAGGTCCCACAGTTGACAGTGCATGTCAGAGCAAAAACCAAGCCATGAGGTGGAAGGAATTGTCCATAGAGCTCTGAGACAGGATTGTGTCGAGGCACAGATCTGGGGAAGGGTACCAAAAAATGTCTGCAGCATTGAAGGTCCCCAAGAACACAGTGGCCTCCATCATTCTTAAATGGAAGAAGTTTGGAACCACCAAGACTCTTCTTAGAGCTGGCCACCTGGCCAAACTGAGCAATCGGGGGAGAAGGGCCTTGGTCAGGGAAGTGACCATGAACCCGATGGTCACTCTGACAGAGCTCCAGAGTTATTCTGTGGAGATGGGAGAACCTTCCAGAAGGACAACAATCTCTGCAGCACTCCACCAATCAGGACTTTATGGTAGAGTGGCCAGACGGAAGCCACTCCTCAGTAAAAGGCACATGACAGCCCGCTTGGAGTTTGCCAAAAGGCACCTAAAGGACTCTCAGACCATGAGAAACAAGATTCTCTAGTCTGATGAAACCAAGATTGAAGTCTTTGGCCTGAATGCCAAGTGTCACGTCTGGAGGAACCCTGGCACCATCCCTACGGTGAAGCATGGTGGTGGCAGCATCATGCTGTGGGGATGTTTATATTATACATTATTATTATGTATCTTTTTTTAAATTATATTTTCTATTAGAACTTGTATTATTATTGCCTTCACTGCATTTAGTACATTGTTGGGAAAGAGCTCTCAAGGTAAGAATTCCACTGTACTGTTTTACATATGTTGCACGTGGCGAATAAACTTTGGACATGTCCCCCTCCACATTCTGAAATTGCATTTTTGTCCCCCCCAGTTTTATCATTGGAATGTGATACAAAACAAGGCAATGGTGTGCTTTAGGACCATGCGGACGCCTCCGAGCGGTCGGGTAGGCTGTTTGGAGTGTTTATCCGACTGGATAAAAAAATATATATATACCGTACCAGTCAAAAGTTTCGACACCTACTCATTCAAGGGTTTTCCTTTATTTTTACTATTTTCTACATTGTAGAACAATAGTTAAGACATCAAAACTATGAAATAACACATATGGAATCATGTAGTAACCAAACACGTGTTAAACAAATCAAAATATATTTTAGATTTTAGATTCTTCAAATAGTCCACCCTTTGCCTTGATGACAGCTTTGAACCCTCTTGGCATTCTCTCAACCAGCTTCATGAGGAATGCTTTTCCAACAGTCTTGAAGTACTTCCCACATATGCTGAGCACTTGTTGGCTGCTTTTCCTTCACTCTGCGGTCCAACTCATCCCAAACCATCTCAATTGGGTTGAGGTCGGGTGATTGTGGAGGCAAGGTCATCTGATGCAGCACTCTATCACTCTCCTTGGTCAAATAGCCCTTACACAGCCCGGAGGTGTATTTTGGGTCATTGTCCTGTTGAAAAATAAATGATAGTCCCACTAAGTGCAAACCAGATGGAATGGCGTATCGCTGCAGAATGCTGTGGTAGCCATGCTGGTTAAGTGTGCCTTGTACTCTAAATAAATCAAAGACAGTGTCACCAGCAAAGCACCCCCACAACATCACACCTCCTCCTCCATGCTTCACGGTGGGAACCACACATGTGGAGATCATCCATTCACCTACTCTGCGTCTCACAAAGACACAGCGTTGGAACCAAACATCTCAAATTTGGACTCTTCAGACCAAAGGACGGATTTCAACCGGTCTAATGTCCATTGCTCGTGTTTCTTGGCCCAAGCAAGTTTCTTCTTCTTTTTGGTGTCCTTTAGTAGTGGTTTATTTGCAGCAATTCGACCATGAAGGCCTGATTCACGCAGTCTCCTCTGAACAGTTGATGTTGAGATGTGTCTGTTACTTGAACTCTCTGAAGCATTTATTAACTCTAATGAACTTATCCTCTGCATCAGAGCTAACTCTGGGTCTTCCTTTCCTATGGCGGTCCTCATGAGAGCCAGTTTCATCATAGCGCTTGATGATTTTTGCAACTACACTTGAAAAAACTTTCACATTTCTTGAAATGTTCCATATTGACTGACCTTCATGTCTTAAAGTAATAATGGACTGTCATTTCTCTTTGCTTATTTGAGCTGTTCTTGCCATAATATGGACTTGGTCTTTTACCAAATAGGGCTATCTTCCGTATACCACCCCTACCTTGTCACAACACAACTGATTGGCTCAAACGCATTAAGAAGGAAAGAAATTCCAAAAAAAAAAATTTTTAACAAAGCACACCTGTTAATTGAAATGCATTCCAGGTGACTTCCTCATGAAGCTGGTTGAGAGAATGCCAATAGTGTGCTAAGCTGTCATCAAGGCAAAGGGTGGCTACTTTGAAGAATCTGAAAGCAAAATATGTTTTATTGTGAAACAAACAAGAAATAAGACAAGAAAACAGAAAACTTGAGCGTGCATAACTATTCTCCCCCCCCAAAGTCAATACTTTGTAGAGCCACCTTTTTGCAGCAATTACAGCTGCAAGTCTCTTGGGGTATGTCTCTATAAGCTTGGCACATCTAGCTAATGGGATTTTAGCCCATTCTTCAAGGCAAAACTGCTCCAGCTCCTTCAAGTTGGATGGGTTCCGCTGGTGTACAGTAATCTTTAAGTCATACCACAGATTCTCAATTGGATTGAGGTCTGGGCTTTGACTAGGTCATTCCAAGACATTTAAATGTTTCCTCTTAAACCACTTGAGTGTTGCTTTAGCAGTATGCTTAGGGTCATTATCCTGCTGGAAGGTGAACCTCCGTCCCAGTCTCAAATCTCTGGAAGACTGAAACAGGTTTCCCTCAAGAATCTCCCTGTATTTAGATCCATCCATCATTCCTTCAATTCCGACCAGTTTCCCAGTCCCTGCCGATGAAAAACATGGATGATGTTCTCGGGGTGATGAGAGGTGTTGGGTTTGCGCCAGACATAGCGTTTTCCTTGATGGCCAGAAAGCTCAATTTTAGTCTCATCTGACCAGAGTTCAAAGCTTGCTTAGTGTATATATTCTGACCAGAGTTCAAAGTCTCATCTGGGATGTTCAAAGCTTGCTTAGTGGTGTTGCAGACTCTGGGCCCTTTCAGAACAGGTGTATATATTCTGAGATCACGTGACACTTCGATTGCACACAGGTGGACTTTACAGTTACATTTTAGTCATTTAGCGGACGCTCTTATCCAGAGCAACTTACAGTTAGTGAGTGAACATTTCCATTACATGAAATCCAAATAAGAATCCATTTAAATTACAGATTGTAATGCAACAAAATAGGAAAAACACCAAGGGGGATGAATACTTTTGCAAGGCACTGTATATGTCTTCGTCATCCCTTCAACCCCCCCCCCCCCCCAACCCCCCTCCCCTCCCCGCCCACACCACACCACACTTCTAAAACCAAAATTGCGCCCCTGGATAAGCATGATAAACATTTTGGCTATTACAATTTATAAGCATCATATGCTGTCAACACACGTCACCTGCCAATGCTGCCATGCATGCCATGCTCAAGTGTCACTCAGGAGTAAATTAAGACTTCTGTTTTTCCTGGAGATGGGCAAGTAATTCATAGCCTATCATTTTACAGGACTAAACAAGACCATATTGGGAGCAGGCAGCTATGATGAACAGTAGGCAATTATAGCAATTATACATTTTGTTGTTGTTGCAAATGCAATGGATATGGTTTCTCGCATCAAAATCGCCTCCTCATCCAGTATTTCGCAATTCATATTAATCCCGATGAGTTGTTTTTCTCTGCGCATTAATGACTTCCCGCTGTATTCGGACCGTTTATTCTAAGGCCATGGCATGACCAATGTGAGTGCGCGCTTATTGGAATCGGCGAGAAAAACATAATGAACCAGAAGCCATGGACTGGAAAAGCATCAAATTACAGTAGAACGTCATGCACCTTCAAGCATCTACTCTGTATTTGGGGGTTGTAGTTTTTATTCTATAATCTCTAGCTTTAGATCTGTGCTTCAGCCAATCATAAAGAACAGCAGTTCCCATAATACAGCAAAACAAACCACAACTCTGTCATGCCTGTGTTTATGTTATTGTTCTTGGTTAGTGGAACAGCTGTGCCGAAAAGTTGTGCATCTTTAAAATCGTTACATCGTTTTCTGACACCGTTTTCTGCCTCCCTTTAATCTAATAGGGACGGCTCAATTGGAGACCAAAAAGGCCGGAATAAGGTACGTCTCAGTAGAAGAAACTGTCGATTTGTATCTGCGTAGAGTTCTCCCTCTGCAGACAAAGGAAAACGAGCTTATTGTCTTATTTAGTGACGCTGACGCACAAGTATTTGTTGATGGTGCACAAGTTTTCTTTTCTACTTCAGATGACGGTGAGATCGGTGAATGGCCCGGATGGTCCTGATTATTATGGCTTTTGCGCATGAAGATCGCACACACCATGCGTTTCTTTTGTACTAACTAGTCTAGGACAATGGTTCCCAATCTTTTTCCGTTACTTTACCACCAACTGAATTTTGCTTTACCCGGAGTACCCCTGAAGTACCCCCTCATGTGCATTTCTACCAGTAGGCCTATGATCTCATGAGTCTTCTCAAGTACCCCCTGTGGATAGGCCAAGTGCCCCCAGGGATCCTAGTACCCCTATTTGGGAACCACTGGTCTAGTGCGTACACTGGAGGCTACAGCTGCTAGGCTACTGGGCCTTGTCTTGAACACTCACACAGTTTATAGGTCTTTTTTGTTTGATCTTATATAGTAAAATAAGTCGTTTTTTTTATCACAGATTGTATTGTTTGTGGACTTTTGTTAATTTCTAACAAAATAAACATAACATAAACATTCATTAATGCTCTCGTCAGGTGGAATAATGGCAGCAGGTTGTTTTTGTTGTGCTTATTAATGGGTTGTACATGTCTTATAAAGGTGGTATTACCTAATACACAGTCAAATAAAATCAAATGTTATTGGTCCTGTACACATATTTTTCAGATGTTGTTGCGGGTGTAGCGAAATGCTTATGTTGCTAGCTCCAACAGTGCAGTAATACCTAACAATACAAAATAATACACGCAAATCCAAAAATAAAAATAAAGGAATTAAGAAAAATAGAAATATTAGAACGAGCAATGTCAGAGTCAGGAATATGAATATATATATGTATATGATGGTGTGCATAGACATATAAATAGTCTGTGACAGTGTTGTTGCCATTTGGCAGAGTGTCTGTGTGTGTGTGTGTGTTGTCATGTAGTAGAGATAGGGGATCATGGTAGTTATGGGCCACACTGTCATCAAGGTGTTAGTATCCCAGGGGGCTGGGGGTGTCAGGGGCTAGGGGGTGTCCTTCCCCCATGCCTCTCCATGCCCTCCATATGCTCATGAAAGAGATCCACTTACACTGAACAAACACTCCCAGAGTAGACCTCTCTTTCTCTCAGCCGTTTCTTTCACAGCAGTCACCTCTCACCTACTTCTCCATGTGCTCCTCTGAACAGGTCCTTGAGTTCCAGACAAAAATATATTGTATGTCAAATATGAGAAATGATTTGAGGATGCCTGACTGTATTTTTCCTCCCTTTACCATGCATCCCCACAGGTGTTCGCCAGTCTACCTGTGTTACTGTGTTGCCATGGAGAAGGTTTGGAGGGTGGAGTTTAGGAACGTGGGTAGTAGCTACTTCCCTCAGAGCCGCGTGGAGTGCCATTACAGCATCAGCTCACAACATACCTGGGCCAGCCATGACTGGGTCGGACTCTTCAAGGTAAAGTTAACCTGATCAAGTTAACCGGATAACTAAAAACCCAGTGTGAGGAGTGGCAGACTCTGTTGAGTGTAAATAAAGTGGAATGCAAAACTATTCTCGATGTATTAATAACCAGAATTGTTGTGTGTTTACGTGTGTCTCCCTGTCTATCTCCCTCTCCACTTGTCGGTCTCTCTCTCTCTTCTTCTCTCTCTGCTGACTACCTCAGGTGGGATGGTCGTCAGAGAAGGACTACCACACCTTTGTCTGGGCCCTGGCCCCGGCAGGCTACCAGGAGGGCACAGATGTCAACTGCTGTGTCCATTTCCAGGGTACTACTCTCTTTTCAAACCCTTCCTCTAATTCTGACAGTGTGCCTGGTCAACATGAATACTCTGTTCAAAGACTATAGCATACATAAATCCAGTAAATTACAGGTTTAGGGTACTAAGTAATGAAATAAAGATAGATATCCACACTTAATAAAAGTGTGAGAGCGTTCAACAGTGTGTTGGTATATATCTGTATTTCACAACGTTCATACTCTGCCAAGGTCTGTAAGGAAAAGCTCGAACTTTGGATTGGCCTGTTAGAGGGTACTGTAGGCTTGTGAATTAGAAAGCAGAAGACTCATGTAAATTTTGGTGTTTTCAAGAGGGGGATGATATAGAATCAGATGACCAAGAACTCTTCCCAAAATTTGTGATCTCTTCTCCTCTCATCTCTACTGTTTCTCTCCTCATTCTCTCTCCTCGTCTCTCTTCTCTTTCCGCTCCTCTCTCCAGCTCCCGGTCTTGCTCTCTCCACTGTCGATTCTAAACAGTCTTGTCGAGGCTGAAAATTTCCTAGAGAAGAGGACTTGATATAGAGGAGAGGAGCGAACATTGTCGACGACTCTTACGATCAATGTACCAAGCTAGATTCCCCGTCGTCCCTCTTTCCTCAGTGAAGTTAAATCATCTTTGTCCGACTCTATCATTCACATGTAATGAGCTTTGTAAGGATTAAGGACAATGTTACAGTAGACAGACATGCTGAATAACAACCTACATTACAGAGTTCAGGGTGAATATTATGGTGTGACAAGTGTCCCCGTCACAGTATTTACAACTTATGCTGTGACAAGTGTCCTCACAGTATTTTACAGACTTTATACTGTGACAAGTGTCCTCACAGTAGTTTTACAGACTTTATGCTGTGACAAGTGTCCTCACAGTAGTTTACGGACTTTATGCTGTGACAAGTGTCCTCACAGTAGTTTCACCAGACTTTATGCTGTGACAAGTGTCCTCACAGTAGTTTACAGACTTTTGCTGTGACAAGTGTCCTCACAGTAGTTTACAGACTTTATGACTGTGACAAGTGTCCTCACAGTAGTTTACAGGACTTTATGCTGTGACAAGTGTCCTCACAGTAGTTTTACAGACTTTATGCTGTGACAAGTGTCCTCACAGTAGTTTACGACTTTATGCTGTGACAAGTGTCCTCACAGTAGTTTACAGACTTTATGCTGTGACAAGTGTCCTCACAGTAGTTTACGACTTTATGCTGTGACAAGTGTCTTCACAGTAGTTTACAGACTTTATGCTGTGACAAGTGTCTTCACAGTAGTTTACGGACTTTATGCTGTGACAAGTGTCCTCACAGTAGTTTACAGACTTTATGCTGTGACAAGTGTCCTCACAGTAGTTTACAGACTTTATGCTGTGACAAGTGTCCTCACAGTAGCTTACAGACTTTATGCTGTGAAAAGTGTCCTCACAGTAGTTTACGGACTTTATGCTGTGACAAGTGTTTTCACAGTAGTTTACAGACTTTATGCTGTGACAAGTGTCCTCACAGTAGTTTACAGACTTTATGCTGTGACAAGTGTCCTCACAGTAGTTTACAGACTTTATGCTGTGACAAGTGTCCTCACAGTAGTTTACAGACTTTATGCTGTGACAAGTGTCCTCACAGTAGTTTACAGACTTTATGCTGTGAAAAGTGTCTTCACAGTAGTTTACGGACTTTATGCTGTGACAAGTGTCCTCACAGTAGTTTACAGACTTTATGCTGTGACAAGTGTCCTCACAGTAGTTTACAGACTTTATGCTGTGACAAGTGTCCTCACAGTATCTTACAGACTTTATGCTGTGAAAAGTGTCCTCACAGTAGTTTACAGACTTCATGCTGTGACAAGTGTCCTCACAGTAGTTTACAGACTTTATGCTGTGACAAGTGTCCTCACGGTAGTTTACAGACTTTATGCTGTGACAAGTGTCCTCACAGTAGCTTACAGACTTTATGCTGTGAAAAGTGTCCTCACAGTAGTTTACAGACTTCATGCTGTGACAAGTGTCCTCACAGTAGTTTACAGACTTTATGCTGTGACAAGTGTCCTCTGTCCTCTCAGTGACAGTGCTAGCTGAGGTGATAAATCTGACCGGCTAACTACAGAAAGCCAGGCAGAGGAGAGCAGGTGTGTCATTGAGTTGTGCCAGGGAGATGAACAGTTATCAACACTGTCATTTATCATTACATTTACATTTACATTTACGTCATTTAGCAGACGCTCTTATCCAGAGCGACTTACAAATTGGTGCATTCACCCTATAGCCAGTGGGATAACCACTTTAGAAAAAAAAAAATGGGGGGGGGGGGGGGGGGGGGGGGGCCTAGAAGGATTACTTTATCCTATCCCAGGTATTCTTTAAAGAGGTGGGGTTTCAAATGTCTCCCCGGAAGGTGGTGAGTGACTCCGCTGTCCTGGCGTCGTGAGGGAGCTTGTTCCACCATTGGGGTGCCAGAGCAGCGAACAGTTTTGACTGGGCTGAGCGGGAACTATGCTTCCGCAGAGGAAGGGGAGCCAGCAGGCCAGAGGTGGATGAACACAATGCCCTCGTTTGGGTGTAGGGACTGATCAGAGCCTGAAGGTACGGAGGTGCCGTTCCCCTCACAGCTCCATAGGCAAGCACCATGGTCTTGTAACAGATGCGAGCTTCAACTGGAAGCCAGTGGAGTGTGCGGAGGAGCGGGGTGACGTGAGAGAACTTGGGAAGGTTGAACACCAGACGGGCTGCGGCATTCTGGATGAGTTGTAGGGGTTTAATGGCACAGGCAGGGAGCCCAGCCAACAGCGAGTTGCAGTAATCCAGACGGGAGATGACAAGTGCCTGGATTAGGACCTGTGCCGCTTCCTGTGTAAGGCAGGGTCGTACTCTCCGAATGTTGTAGAGCATGAACCTGCAGGATCGGGTCACCGCCTTGATGTTAGCGGAGAACGACAGGGTGTTGTCCAGGGTCACGCCAAGGCTCTTCGCACTCTGGGAGGAGGACACAACGGAGTTGTCAACCGTGATGGCGAGATCATGGAACGGGCAGTCCTTCCCCGTTATCAGAAGGGGGAAAGGAGAAGATTAGTTGTGTATCGTCAGCGTAGCAATGATAGGAGAGGCCATGTGAGGATATGACAGAGCCAAGTGACTTGGTGTATAGCGAGAATAGGAGAGGGCCTAGAACTGAGCCCTGGGGGACACCAGTGGTGAGAGCACGTGGTGCGGAGACAGCTTCTCGCCACGCCACTTGGTAGGAGCGACCGGTCAGGTAGGACGCAATCCAAGAGTGAGCCGCGCCGGAGATGCCCAGCTCGGAGAGGGTGGAGAGGAAGATCTGATGGTTCACAGTATCAAAGGCAGCAGACATGTCTAGAAGGACAAGAGCAGAGGAGAGAGAGTTAGCTTTAGCAGTGCGGAGAGCCTCCGTGACACAGAGAAGAGCAGTCTCAGTTGAATGACCAGTCCTGAAACCTGACTGGTTTGGATCAAGAAGGTCATTCTGAGAGAGATAGCAAGAGAGTTGGCTAAATCATCTGTGGTAAGTACTGAAGCTACAGAGTAAATGCAGAAGCCAGGCATTTGATGTAGTCAAAGCACATTCAGGATTATACCCACTTGTGAAAGTGGAGGTTGGTTATCCGTAGTGCACATCATCATGACCACAAATCCATTTATTGCAGTATAAGCATGTAAACATCTAGTTAAATAATCCACTGACCATTTCCCCCCTCCCTCCCTCCCCCTCCCTCCCTCCCTCCCTCCCTCCCTCCCTCCTCCCTCCCTCCCTCCCTCCCTCCCTCCCTCCCTCCCTCCCTCTTGCAGCTTCCTACCTGCCCAAGCCCAGTTCCCAACAGTACCAGTTTGTGTATGTGGATGGGAAGGGGGAGGTGTGCTCTGCCAGCCCCCAGTTTACCTTCAGTGACCCCAAGCCACTGGAAGACCTGGTCACCCTGGAGGAAGGAGCCCACGGAGAGGAGGGAGGGACTGACATGCTGCTGGTCGTACCCAGGGCTGAGCTACTGCAGGTGGGCAGAGAGGAGGGGGGGGGGAAGGGTTAAGGAAGAGGGGAGGGGGAAGAGAGGAGGAGAGGAGGGAGGAACAGATGCTGCAGGTTGTACCCAGGGCTGAACTACTGCAGGTGGGCAGAGAGGAAGACTGAGCAGATGGGAGAGGGAGGAAAGTAAAGGGAAGTACATATTTCCATCTTTCACTTATAGAGAGAGTGAATGAAATTGGATGTGAATGAAAGTGGATGAAATGTATAAACAGAGGTGGTAATCAATACACTGTTCCAAAGAGATGGAAGATGGAGATAGAGATTGATCAGGTTTTAGGGGGACTCATTTTCTTTCTCTTTCTCTCTCTCGATCAGAGTCGCCTGCAAGAGTGTCTGCGTGAGCGGGCCGAACTGCTCCATGCGCGGGAGGCGGCAGAAAGGATGAAGCAGAGAGAGAAGGAGATGTACGGGAGGGCGAGAGAGGCTTGGGACAGAGGACGTGAGGAGCTGGAGAGGAACATCTCTGAGCTGAAGGAAGAGCTGCGAGAGAGCAGAGACAGGATGGAAGAGATGGAGAGGAGGAAGGAGGTAATGTAACATTACAAGACGGGGTTAATGTCCGTGCCAAGGTGATTTGATTATGTCCAAGTAGCCCCAGTGTCTCTGTAAAATGCGATTTGACGTAGAAAGACAAGATCACAACCCCAGATGTAAATTATCTTGTTATGTTAAATGTCAAAACAGCATGAGTTCATTTACAGGTCAAATGTGCTTTATCATCTACAAGGAGGCTCATGATACCATACTTTATAGAATATATAGATTCTATAAATCTATCTCTTTCTCTCTCTCTCTCTCTCTCTCTCTCTCTCTCTCTCTGTCTCTCTCTTCTGCCCTCCCTCCCTCCCCCTCTCTCTCCCCCATCACAGGAGGTGGAGGCGTCGGGGGAGGCCTTAACTCAGGAGAAGAGTTCCATACTGGCCAAGAAAGCAGCCAGCGAACAGCGAATCAGAGAGCTGGAAGATGACATTAAAGCTCTGACACTAAAGGCTGTGGAACGAGAGACTGAGCTGGAGAGGTCAGAGACGTCCGGAAAGCGAATCTCGCTCTCTCTTCGCCCTCTCTCTCTCCTCTCTCTCTCACCCTCTCTCTTCTTCTCTTCTATCTCTCTCTCTCTATCTCTCTCTCTCTCTCTCTCTCTCTCTCTCTCTCTCTGTCTCTCTCTCTCTCTCTCTCTCTCCCCATCCATATCTCCCTCAATCTCTTATCTTTCCTGTTATTCTTAAACTATTTTCTGGTTAATGCTAACCCTGTCTCTGTGTGTAGGATGAAGGAGAGGGCCAAGAAGCAAGCAGTTCAAATGATGGAGGAGGAGAAAGAGAGGAAAGTTCTGCAGGTACAGATTTGGATTTATTTAGTGCTTTTCAAATTGTTTTCCGCTAACAACGTGTAGCATCCTACCTGGGTGAAGCACAGCAGCCATTTTGTGCCCAACACTAGCCACACATCATGTCTGATCCCAAACTCCTTATGCTCCGCTTCTTCCTCTCTCCCTGTGTCTTCCTCAGCTCAAGCTGGAGCAGACCGAGGGGGAACTGCGGAGTCTGTCTGCTGAGTTCCAGGGTCTGAGGAGCTCCCTGGCCCAGAGAGACACACATGCCCTGCAGCTACGGGACACCATCACCACCCTCACACACAGACTCAACATGGCACAGAGGAAAGAGGTGAGCATGGCACCACCCTTACACACCATCACCACCCTCACACACAGGCTGAATACAGCACGGAGCAAAGAGGCGAGCCTGGCACCACCCAGAGAGGGATGAGGACAGTTAATAAAAGGATGGAAGGGATTGGGAGGGGAAAGAACAAAAGACAATGCAACAGGAAAATGGCTGTCACTTGTCCTAACCAATCATCTAACAAAAACCATGCTATTGAGGTTATTTTAGCGACCATTGCAAACTTTGCTGGCTGGAAAAATAGGGATGGGAAGTTAGATAGGGAGTGGCAGGGTTGATCAAAGACAATGCAACAGGAAAGTACCCAATGTCCCATGGCCTCACCAGTCATCTAACAAAACCATGCTATTGTTGTTGAACTATCATGGCGTCCCACTCTCACCCTCCTCTCATCTTTCCTATCAGGCGGAGAGCAAGGCCGCCCTGGCTGAGATGTGGGGCCTGCGGGAGCGTCAGGGGGCCAGCGAGCGTTGTGCTGAGGGCCTGAAGGAAGAGCTGTGTGCCCTGGTGGCTCAGAGGGACCAGGGTCAGACAGAGCTGCACCAGGCCAGGCTCCAGGCAGCACAGCTCACCCTGCAGCTAGCTGACTCCAGCCTGACCCTGAGGGAGGGCAGAGCACACTGGGCCCAGGAGAGACAGAGCCTGCAGCGCTGTACTTCGGTAGGACACACCACCACAGACAGTAATAATCATATGGATGGACCTAATCATATGAATTGGATTTCTCAAGTAGTCAAATCATTTCACTGTGATAGTGACTCTCCATTGAGGTAGGCCAACCTCTACAGTACTCTCACTCACAACCATATAGTACTAATATACTCAACTCAGATTTTAACTAAGAGGTTGCATTACTATTTTGGAAATGATGCTTGTGTAAGGTCTCCTCTTTCTGTTCCACTATGTAAGATAGCTGCAACACCTCACATCCTCTAGATAAATAATTTCCTGTTCGACCTTGAATGCAAGTAGCAGAATGTCCTAGCAGCAAAACATATCAACATTCTTTTGATGTGAGATGACTGTGTGGTAGCAGCAAAACATATCAACATTCTTTTGATGTGAGATGACTGTGTGGTAGCCTAGCGGCAGGTAGCCTAGCAGTTAAGAGCGTTGGGCCAGTTACCGAAAGGTCGCTGGTTTGAATTCCTGAGCCTACTAGGTGAAAAATCTGCCGATGTGCCCTTGAGCAAGGCACTGAACCCTAATTGCTCCTGTAAGTCGCTCTGGATAAGAGCGTCTGCTAAATTACTAAATGTTTATGGTGTGTGTGTGTCCACCTGGTAGAAGGACAGAGAGCGTCTGGAGAAGCTGAATGGAGAGATGCAACGGATGGAGGAGAAGCTTCAGGAGGAGAGGATGGAGAGAGAGAAGGTGGAAGTGGAGCTGGGAAGAGAGAAGGACTGTAATCGGGTAAAGATCAACACATACTCTACCACATGTAAATCAACATTTCCAGATATGACTAGAGACAACAACAAACGTGTAAATCAAAATCAACTCTCTATACACACACTCAATGTCCTCCATTGTAATGAAAACCATTCAGCTTTGTTGGTCCTGTATAGCTCAGTTGGTAGAGCATGGCGCTTGCAACGCCAGGATTGGGGGTTCGATTCCGATAAAAGAGTCCGCTAAATGGCATATTTTATATTATTATATATCTGTGTCAACATGCTGAAACCTATTCAAACTGAAAAACGAGTGTCTTTGATTACTTGTGATGTGCTGTGCTGCTGGTCAGGCTGTGTATAGCAGTATACAACTCCTTCTTTTCATTACTGCCCCCTGCAGGTGCAGCTGAGTGAGACACGCAGGGAGCTCCAGGAGCTGAAGGCTAGTCTGAGGGTTGTCCAGAAGGAGAAGGAACAGCTGCTGCTGGAGAAACAGGCAAGACCCCTTCTCTACACCTGTCCACCTCTTCCACCACCATTACCCCTCTCCCACTGTCCACATACATGCACATTTCTGAATCAACTGCTATCCCCTACCCACTTCGCCAGACGCTCTCTGTTCTTCTGCCATGGGGAGACACATAAAACACACACAGCAGACTTTTTGGAGTGTAAAATATGTTCACAATTAAAATTCATATTTTCCCTAACCCTAAACCTAACCCAAACCCTAACCCTTAACCTTAACCCCAAAAACCCTAACCCTAAACTTAACCCTAAACCTAACCCTAACCCCAAAACCCTAAACCTAACCCTTAAGTTTAAAATACCATTTGAACAAATTCAGGACCTGAAAAAAGTCCTGACCTTTCAAAACAGTTCTTGTTTTCCTACCCTTTCAGGACATTAAGGTGAAATTTTAGGACATTGGGGTCCTGATAAAGTAGGAAAACTAGTGCACACACACAGACACACACACAAACACACAAAAATATACGCACACACACAAATACACACACACACACACACACACACACACACACACACACAGATAATGATTCCTATGTGTCTAGAGCTGTAGAGACTAGGGGTTAATATGGGGTTGATACATAGTTGTCTTGGGATAACAGTTGTGTGTGTATAGATGAGTCTCTGACGTCCCTGCTGTCCTCTGTACAGGACCTGATGGAGTACATGCGTCAGGTGGAACAGAGGATGGAGGCTGTGGCAGACGCCAAGTGGAGCGCTGCAATGTTCGCCCCCACCAGTGAGCAGACACACCCACACTAAAACATTGTGGACCCACCCTAACACTGAGCTGTTTGGACAGCAATACAGCAGTGCTTACAACAAGAGATTCTATTTCTACACCGAATAGTATCTGAGATGTCTTGAACCAATCATGAGGTAGATACGTAGATGGAGACTACAGCCAGGAGTTTTTCCCCATCAGGGAGAACTCCTGACCTTTGTCGTGCTCTGTTGTTTTCCACTGTGTGTGTCTGACAGGTCTCCCTGATAGTCCTCTGTCTGACTCTGAGGATGAGAACCCTGAGGCCCTGCAGCCCCCCCGCCAGCCCTCCAGGCAGCCTCCGCTGTCCTCTTTGTCCTCCCGCCCTCTGGCCCACTACAGCCTGTGTGACCCCCAGGCCCAGCCTGACTCCCTGCTCCCCTCCACCCCCCCTTCCTCCCCCAGGGATATGTCACGGTCCCTCTCCCGAGGGGGCGTAGTGATCAGCCAGCCCGCCCCCCTGTCGTTGCCAAGGCAATCAGGAGATACCCTGACACACAGCTCTGAGTCGGTAAGAGGCGTTATCAGATGCTCTTACACGCACGCACACACACACACACACACAGTCATACTGGGCTCATTTCCTGTACAATTAGCATGGCTGTTTCCTAAGGCTGATAGCCTGGTGATAACATGACTTATCTTCTTATGATTGTGACTCATTTGGTTAAGTCATTATCATGTGAAGGTAATTAGGCCTGCCTGTGCACTGGCTTATTACACTATTATGTCTTATTACACTATTATGTCTTATTACACTATTATGCTTATTACACTATTATGGCTTATTACACTATTATGGCTTATTACACTATTATGTCTTATTACACTATTATGGCTTATTACACTATTATGGCTTATTACACTATTATGGCTTATTACACTATTATGGCTTATTACACTATTATGGCTTATTACACTATTATGGATTATTACACTATTATGGCTTATTACACTATTATGGCTTATTACACTATTATGGCTTATTACACTATTATGGCTTATTACACTATTATGGCTTATTACACTATTATGGCTTATTACACTATTATGGATGATTACACTATTATGGCTTATTACTGGACGTGTGTATGATTACTACATGTGTTCCTCACTGCTCTCTCTCTCTCTCTCTCTCTATTTCTGCATGTGTATGTGTGTGTGTGTGTGTGTGTGTGCAGGAGGAGGAGGGTGACACAGCCCTATGTGGAGGACACAGCTCTGGAGAGGAGACAGCTCTGCTGCTGCCTGAGACCACAGTCCTCAGGTAACACACACACTGTCATTCTCCACACACACACACACACACACACACTGTCCTGTCATTGTCTTCACACACACACACACAGGCACACACAGGGTTGTTATTTACGATGATAGGCTGAGTATGGCTCTCAGAGATGGAAGTTTTCAATATCAGGTCGTAAAAGACGTTGAGTGAGGGTGAGGAGAAAGAGATGGTGTAAGACAGTGTAAGGCACGGTGAGTGACGCAGGGAGGGAGTGAGGGAAGGATGGGGAGAGGTAGGGAGGGAGGGAGGGGAAGAGGGAGGACAAGGGGACAGATTCGTTGACAGCAGGCTGTAGCAATGATTTGCCTACAGGCTAGTACCGCAGTCACGGGCCAATTTTCAGCATCATTAAAGCACTCTCTCTCCCACCTTTTCACTCTATATTTCTCCCTCCCTCGTTCTCTCACCTCTTTTTTTCTCATACGCATTCCTTTTCTACAGTTGTGCTGTGCCCTGACTCCACTACAAATTTAGCAATTGGGACGATAAAGATATTGATTGATTGATTTGATTGATTGTTCACACCCTTTCCTTTCTTGGTTGTTCCCTGTTGTCCAGTGACCTGGCTGATACCTCTCAGTGGTAGAGTGGAGATACAGGACCAGATCTACACCAGCACTGGCTGTTTGGCCCTTATTTTAACTCGGCATTCAGCACACAAGCACACACACTACAACTCACCTCTACTCTTGACAAACTATGTTAATATGCAATTTGCTTTTACATTTTATATGAACTTCTTTTTTGATGTATGACTTTAAGGCTGTTGTGTCACCCCCTATACATAACATGGTCTTAAGAATGACATAATACCTGTCGTAACAGCTCAAACTGTTATAAAGCGTGAAACATTTGACATTGAAAAGTGTTCATTAGATATTTAATAGTTCATGTTCTATAACAGGGTTATTTCAGTTGCAGGAGGAGTTGATGTCGTGAGCTTTATGAAGTGTGTTATGTAATGTTATGAGGCGTCATGACAGTCACTGTTGTGAGCGAGAGTATGTCTCCTTTTAAAATCTAAAAGTTGCTTTTAACTTTTCAGTCTGTGAAGCAACTTTTACATCTATTCAGAATACTGTAATAATAGTTATTGAAACACACTACAACTATATTAGAATAATCATTGTAAAGTACTGACACATAACATGTTTTTCCTCATATTCAAACCTATGATTTTATATTTCTGCTGTTATTCATTATTATTTCATTCTTGCTTTATTAATGCTGTTCTAGTGCTAGATGAGAGGATAATTACACAGAGAAGTATCTGTAATGGGGAAAAACTTGGTGGAAGTTTGGAAATAGAGTGGGAGATTAATCAGGATGAATGTAGAATGGTAGAACACTCTAGAATGGTAATTGTTAGAGTGGTCGGACTGACATTTGAATGTTCTCTCATGTTTTTATTAATCTCATAATATATTCTATCTTCATCTACATAAAGCTATTGCTCCTGCAGGCTGGTAGCTGTAGAGACCCTGCAATAAGATCATACATGATACCAAGCAGTGTATGGTTTTAAAGCTAAATCAATGTATTTGTTAAAGAAGAAGTCGTTCTAGATTATTAGTATTATTAGACTAGATTTACTGTACATTGTATGCTCAAAGCTCTGCTTTAGATTGATGCAGTTCTACACTTGTGCCTAAATAACAAATTGGGAAATCAATAGTCTCTTTTCAGCCAAGCGTCATCAGTCTGGCAAACAAGACTAGTAAACTAAGGAATCTTATCATGATAACATTATCTAATTTATAGATACTGACATTACAAGACTTGATGGAAGGCTTGCCTGGAAAATATTATTAGTACTGGTTTAATAATACTATATTTTTCATGATTTTCAACAAATACTCAACTTTAGTTATATCGTAATGAAGCTATATTCTGGTTTAGTGTCACGACTTCCGCCGAGGCTGCCTCCCCTCCTTGTTCGGGCAGGTTTCGGCATTCGTCGTCACCGGCTTACTAGCTACTGCCACTCCCATTCTCATCACTCCACTTGTCTTGTCTTGTCAATCACACACACCTGGTGCTCATCCCATAATTAGTCTGCGTATAAGAGTTCCCTCTGCCCCCTTGTCTTTGTGAGTGATTGTTCTATGTTGGAGGAGAGTAGCTTGGTTGAGATACTCTCTCATTTATTTTGCCAGAGTTGATTTCCCCCTGTGTCATTACATTTATTGTATTTTCTGAGACTGTGTTTGGTCAGGGAGGATTGTTTCCCCTGTACCTGTTTCGATTACCTTTGTTGGCGCATTGTATGTCTGGAAAGAATAAATCTGCATCCGGTTATTTTACTCCTGCGCCTGACTCCGTCCATCATTCACCACATTTAGTTTAAGCTAATGATGTTTGATAAGAAGAGAATACTAAAGCTAGGTCATTTAAAGGGGCAATCTGCGATTGTTGTTGTTTGAACTGCAGATTCCCCCCTTGAAGCTTCCTAATGAAGAAAGAAGAACGTGCTAGGGATACTTTTTGCTTGGTCGAAATGTAATTTGCTGTATTTGCATCTGTTTCTTTTGCTATAAGATGTTTTGGGGACACTTTTTTTTTTTTTTTTCATTTAACACTTGGATACTCCTTATTAATCCAGTCTATGTTATCTCATCTATTTTCATAATCATTACCATAGTTTACTCTTATTTTAATTTCTCTGATTTTCTTTACAGGTAAATTTAACTGTCTTTATTACTCTCACAACTATCTGATAAGGTTTGAAAAGTTAGTCCAAATGGTAGAGATATTGGTGCTACTGTATAGGAGTTGTAGCTATAGTGAAAGATCTGTAACATATACAGTGCCTTCAGAAAGTATTCATACCCCTTGACTTATTCCACATTTTGTTGTGTTACAGCCTGAATTCAAAATTGATTAAATATATTTTTGCTCTCACCCATCTACACCATAATGTCAAAGTGAAAACATGCTTTAAAAAATATTAGCACATTTATTGAAAATGAAATACAGAAATGCACTGTAATTCAGTCCGTTATAATAACAACTGTGATGGACATCCTTGATCATTGAAGGCTGTGCTTCAGTGGGTTTTGGGGTACCCCTCTTCGTCTCTACACCCTTTCAGCTCGACCTTTAGTGTAATCTAGTGCTTACACCTCTATTTGGGTGAATTTGACATCCTGGTATGTGCACCAAAAGTTGCGTAGCATTGAGATCCTTTTTGTGGACGTCATTTTAGATTTCTGTGGGAAGTTCTGTTCTATTTCTATGTCTGCTGTGAGCTACATGTGTGTAACATCCTTCCAGGATACCTAGCTACTCATTGCAATAAGGCTCCAGTGGTTTGCTGGTGTGTATGACGTTTTGTTTGTTTGTTGAGGTCAACTTACTTATTTAAAACAATTATATTCTTTGGTATTTCTATATAGGGTCATTAAGCGTGTGGGTTGGTTTCTGTAATAATAATAAAAACATGTATCTGTATCAATTGTGTCAAATGTGTCTGTTTTTTTGATGGAAGATAAATATTCAAAAATGTTGGGTTGCTTCCTTCAGGGTATGACATTTCTGATGCTAATTTGCTAATCACATGTCTCATCTTCTCGTCTGCATATCTATCTTTATCTCCTCACTCTCTCTTCTTCTCTCTCTCTCTCACTCACTCCCTCTCTTCTCTGACCTTCTCCTCAGACCACGTTCTGCATTATTTTCTTACCCTGCTGCCCCTCTTTACCTGTACCTCTCTCCTTCCCCAACTCCCCCTCTCCTTCATCTCCTCTCCTCTGCTCTGCTCCCTCCATCTCATGTCTGGGGTGACGATAGCTAATTATAAAATCAATGATACCCAGCTGCCTGGTTTACAGCCTGCTCTAAAACCTTAACTGGGAAATCACTGGTGGATTGATGATTCCCTCACTCTTTATCTGTTTTAATTAGAAATGTAAAAGATATGAAGAGCCAGAGGCCAGAACACATCTCTTACTAGGATGCGTCTCAAATGGCACTCTGTTTCCTATATAGTGCACTACATTTAATCAGAGCTCTGGTTAAAAGTAGTACACTATATAGGGAAATTGGTGCCATTTGGGACAGAGACATAGGCTTTATGACCTCTCTGCCAGGCAGGCTGCTTGCCCCTAGCTCTCTCTGCCTCTCTTACCCAAATCACTTTTTTTCTTCCACTTTATTTCTTGTTTTTTTCTTCCCTGATCCCCTCCTAGCATACCTTCCTCACTCGCCCGTGTCTGTGGTATATTCACTCGTCTCTCTCTCACTTTCTCCATTACCCTTTTAAGAGCAGCTCTCTCTCTATCATTCCACTCTGTCTCCTTCCCTCCCGCTTCATGCTTGTCTCTTCCTATAGGGAAGATTTTACATTTATGATAACTGTTGAGTGTGAAAACCCCTCATTCTTAGCTAGCTAGCTAAAGTTATTCTGCATCTAAAGTAAATCTGGCGACATCAAAATGATGAAAAAAGCTTGTCCAACTTATTATTTGCCTCCTTTTGAAATGTCATCGTGTTTGCTGTGACGTTGATGAAATATTCTCCCAAAGAAGGATTTTAAAGCCTTGAGACAATTGAGACATGGATTGTGTATGTGTGCCATGCAGAGGGTGAATGGGCAAGACAAAATATTTAAGTGCCTTTGAACGGGGTATCGTAGTAGATGCCAGGCGCACCGGTTTACCTTTGTAAAGAACTGCAACGCTGCTGGGTTTTTCACGCCCAACAGTTTCCCGTGTGTATCAAGAATGGTCCACCACCCAAAGGACACCCAGCCAACTTGACACAACTGTTGGAGTCAACATGGGCCAGCATCCCTGTGGAACGCTACGCCACCATGTCTGTGTCAATGACTCATTTCCCCTGCATTGCTACACTTTGCACTTCAAAGTAAATCTTAGCTCAGTTAATTAAAAGTACACTCAAGAAAACCATTTTTTTTACATAGTGATCAAGAACTAACATTAAAACAGAGTAATATGCCTGTGTTCTGTGTGTGTTTGGTGTGACGTTGATGGAATATTCTCCTAACCCTCAGAAAACTGGACACATGAATGTTCTTGCAACGATACCACGAAATGTGTCTACAACATTAATATCTTGTATTCGAAAAACATGGCAACCATGTTCTGTGTATGTTTGGTGTGACGTTGATGGAATAATCTCCTAACCCTCAGAAAACTGTTCACTGAAATGTTCTTGCAACGTTCCAATGAAACATGTCTAGAACGTTAGTATTGAATATTCTGAGAACATGGTAACCACATTCTGGGTAAATTGTGTTTGACGTTAAGGGAATGGTCTCTTGGAAACAGTCCTTGGCACATTCCTATGAAAACATTAGGTAATGACCTAATGAGACTCTTAAAGGGAAAGTTCTCTAATGTTTTGGGAACATTTGTTGTTGGCTGGGTTACTGCCTACTTCTATGTCTCCAAGATGTCCTTATAGCCCCTGGATGTTTTATCACATACAGTCCGTCAT